TGCACGCGGGGCACCTGCCGCCGCGGCCGCCGCCGCCGCCGCCGCCGGGATGTCTCCAATAATCCCACTTGCTGTCGTCCCCCGTCGTCGGCTCCGGCTCCGGCTCCGGCTCCGGATCCCCCTCGACCTTCGCCCCCGCGGCTCTCGCGTCGCGCTCCGCCGCGTCTTGCTCTCCAAGCCACGCCAGACGTTCGTCATCCGTCGTCCACTCGCTCGGCCACTCGCACTTTCGCGTCTCGAGCGGCGCGTGCGCGTTAAACGCGCACACCCACCGCGCGTGCGGCGTGAGCTCGCGCAGCACCGTCCGAGGGACGCGGCGCCACTTCCCGCACGACGCGACCTCGCATCGAACGGCGGCGAGGGGTTTATGAAGCGGCGGTTCGGGCGGCGGTTTCGGCGGATGAAGCGGCTTGGTCGGCGGCTTCTCCGTCTTGACCTTCTTCTCGGGCTTCTTCTCGGGCTTCTTCGGTCGCTCGGGGGAGTCCGGCGGCAGCCCCGCGGCGATCCTCGCCTCCCTCCTCTCCGCTGCCGCCTTCGCCCTCTTCCTCGCGCGGTACTCCCTGTCTTGCTTCTGCTTCAAAAGGCGCTTGTGCTGCAGTCTCGCGTGCTCCGCCTCCGCGGCGGCGGCGGCGAGGACGCGTCGGTCGATCTCGTCGTCGCTGAGGGTCGTTCCATACGAGTGAATGTCGGGGTGGAGTTGAAAGGCGTCAGTTGAAGTAGAAAGGCGTCGAGGGCGGGGATTGAAAGCGAGGGATAGGCGGAGAGAGACGACGGCGAAAGTCCTTAAGGATCGGCGTTCACCACGCCGACGGGGTCGTATGGGGACCAGTGTATAGAACGCACCTCAGCTCTTGCGCGGCGTCGCACGAGCTGAACCGCGCGCCGGCGTCCTTCCCGTCCGCGCATCGCCACCTCGCGTCGTCCGCGAGCGTCTTCGCGACGATCGAGGGCACGCGCCGCCACTTCCCGCAGGTCTCGACGTCGCACGCGATCCACGCTTCGCTCGCGGCGGCGACGCCGTGGACGGCGGCGTCCATCGGATCTCGCGGCATGGACGCCCACGCCGCGTCGAGGTCCGGCGGCGGCGGCGGCGGCGGCGTCGCGTCGTCGTCGTCGTCGTCGTCATCGTCGTCGTCGTCGTCGTTCTCCTCCCGCTCGCGCTTCATCGTCGTCGTCGCGGTCGCGGCGGCCGCGATGGCGACGAACGCGGGGTTCGTCGGCGGCGAGTAGTCGCCGAGCGTCTCCTTCGCGCGCGCGAGCGCGGCCGCGACCGCGGTCGTCGGCGACGGGTTCCACCGCGGCGACGTCGCCGCCGCGGCGGCGGCGACAGCCTCGAACGCGCTCGCGACGGACGCGGCGGAGACGTGCCCGAGCGCGTTCGCCGTCTCGGTCGGCGTCGGCGTCGTCGTCGCGGGTACGACCGTCGTCGTCGGCGTCGGATCGCGCGATGGGATCCCCGCGGTGGGCCGCGCGCGATCGACCTCGCGCGTTTCGTCGCCGTCGCCGCCCCGCGGCTCGATCGGCGCGGCCGCGAGGTCGCGCGCGCCCCCGGAGCTCCCGCCGCCGGGGAAGCCCTCCATGTCGCGTCCGACGCGCGTCGCGCGGCCGGGGACTGGCGCGATCGCGCGCGCGCGTGAAAACCCGTCGTTTGAACGCCTCGATCGTCGGCGCTTCCAACAGAACCTGACCAGACGACGCGCCCACCTGACCCACTCGACATCGCGCGCGATGCGCGCGGCGACGTTCGCGCTCGCGCGCGCGGCCCCCGCGCGCGCTGCTCGAAGCGCGTTTCACGCCGCGAGCTGCCGCGGCCGCGGCGGCGACGCGTCCACGTCCGCGTCCTCGCGCGCGGCGCGCGCCTCCCCCCCGGTGGGTTTTCCGCGTCGATCCCTCGCGAGGTGCCACCATCACCATCAACATCATCATCTTCACCGTCGACGCGCCGCGCTCTCTCCCCGCGCGACGTCGTCGTCGTCGTCGTCGTCGCGATGGTCGTCCGTCCGCGCGTCCCCCTCCGCGCCGCGCCTGGACGACCACGTGGAGATCCCGAACGTCGGCGACGTCCATCTCTGGTTCGCGGACCTCGCGGAGGTCGCGTCCGACCCCGACCTCGCGTCGCGCTGCGCGTCGTCGCTGCTGAGCCCGGCGGAGCGCGCGGCGCTCGACGCGGAAGGGGACGCCCTGACCGCCGACGCGCGGACGCGACGCGATATTACGTCCAAGGCGTTCACGCGCGCGGTCCTCGCGCGCTACCTCGGCCGCGGGATCGACCCCGCGGACCTGACGTTCGCGATCGGACCGCACGGCAAGCCGCGGCTGATGGGCGCGGAGGGGACGCGATTCTTGTACCGCCTCAACAATCGCCCAGACGCGCGTCGGATTCGGTACAGCCTGTCGCACTGCGATCGCCTCGCCGTCCTCGCGGTGACGTCCGCGCCCGCGGTCGAGGACGTACCTCTGCTCGCGGATATCGAAGCTGAAAACAAAACGCCTTTGAACGAACCGTTTCGCGCGGTGTACGAGATCGGCGTCGACTGCGAGGACGAGCGTCGACGCACGTCCGCGTCCGCCGACGCGCTCGCGAGACGATGGCTCAGCGCGGCGGAGGCGGCGCGCTTGGACGCGATCGAAGACGACGATGTGAGAGCGACGGCGTTCATGCGGCTGTGGACGCTGAAGGAGGCGTACGTGAAAGCGCTGGGAACGGGGATCGCCGCGCACGCGTTATCGGGGTTCGACGTGGCGGTCACTCGGGGCGAGGAGGAGGAGGAGGGATCGAAGAGATTAAACGCGTCGACGACGTCATCCGGCGGCGATCGCGGCGGCGGCGGCGTCGGGCTCGACCGCGCGTCGGACGCGCCGGGGAGCATCGCGCTGACCGAGCGCGGGGACGGATGGGAGTCGAGCGCGGATCGGTGGCGGTTCGCGCTCGTGCGACCGACGCCGACGGATTCGCTCGTCGCCGCCGTGTGCGTGTGGGGCGGCGGCGGCGTTGGGGAGGAGGAGGCGGAGGAGGGCGGCGGCGGCGGCGAGGTCGACGCGGACGACGACGCGGCGACGCGTGCGCCGACGATCATCTCGCGTTGGTTCGTTCCTCTCGTGAAGGAGGACGCGGAGCGACCGCCGCCGGAGGTGATCGCCGTGAGCTCGCACTTTAGAGCGTCCTAAAGCGACCGAGGCGTCGGCGACGACGGCGGCGAGAGAAATAATAAATCCAGATTTATCGGCACCCCGCACTCAGCTCGTCGCGCGCGCGGCTCGTCGTCTCCTTCTGCTTCTGAAATCTTCCGTTGCCGTTCGATTCGTCTAGACGCCGCGCGCGCGTCGCCACGTCCCGACGCGATGGGCGACGACGCCGCGCGCCTCAGGAAGGTGAACTTAGTCGAAGTTCTGAGCGACGCGCATCCGTCGTGCGCGCCGCCGCCGGACGACGCGCCGGAGCGTTGGACCGAGCGCGAGATCAGGGACTACTTCGCCTCCGGAGGGAAGACGTCGCCGGCGCCGAAAGTCGACGACGACGACGACGACGACGACGACGACGACGACGACGACGCGCCGCCGCCGCCGTCCACGCGCGAGGACGGAAAGTACCTCTGCCAGCGCGTCGGCTGCGACGCCGTCTACGACGCGAGCGAGAACGCGGCGGGGAGCTGCAGGCATCACCCCGGCGCGCCGACGTTCCACGACGGCACGAAGCGATGGTCGTGCTGCGGGAAGAGCTCGCACGACTTCGGCGAGTTCATGTCGTTCCCGGGGTGCGCGACGGGAAGGCACACGCAGAGGAAGCCGAAGAAGACGCGCGCGCCGCCCGCGCCCGCGCCCGCGCTCGCTCCGATCCCGATGCCGACGTCCGCGGAGGCGAGAGCGGGGGCGGCGGCGTCGCCCGCGGCGTCGCCCGCGGCGGCGTGCGCGCGATGCCGGCAGGGATTCTTCTGCAGCGACCACGCCGCGAGCGCGGAGGCGCAGGCGGCGTACGTCGCGCCGACGATCAAACCGCCCTCTAACCCCGCGGCGGATACCGTCGTGTGCGCAGACCCAGACGCGGTGCAGATCTGTCGGAACAAAGGCTGCGGCGAGAGCTACCGCGAGCGCGACAACGCGGACGACGCGTGTTTGCATCATCCGGGGCCGCCGATATTCCACGAGCGCAAGAAAGGGTGGGCGTGCTGCGACGTGATGTGCTACGACTTCGACGAGTTCATGAGCGTGAAGCCGTGCGCGCGGGGGAGGCACTGCGCGGCGCCGGAGGCGGTCGCGTACGCGAAGAAGCCGGTCAAGTAGCGGCGGCATACTGTAGGATACAGTATTTTTTCACGGCCAGCTTGCAGCGCAGTCGTCCCGGCCTTTCAGAGAGATAACGACGCCACGTCCCTCCTCGCGCCGTCGCACTCTCCCCTCGCGCGAGATGGCGTCGACGTCCGCGTCGTCCGCGCGGATCGGACGCCATCCCGGCGGCGGCGCGGCGGCGGCGCGGCCCACGGTCTGCGATCGCGCGCGTCGCGTCCCGCGCCGCGCGACGGCGTCGCCCGCGCGCCGATCGTCGCTTACCCGCCACCCTCGAACGCGATCGCGCCTCCGCGCGGTCCCTCCGTCCGACGACGCGCCCGCCGACCCGGAGGACCCCGCGAGCTCGAGCGCGGCGTTCGGCGGCGCGCTCGCGGGCGGACTCGCGGACGCGCTCGCGGACGACGCGTCCGAGGACGACGTCGTGAACGCGCTCGGGATGCGCGCGAACCTCCTGGGCGACGCGCGAGAGACGGAGGCGAAGCGCCAGGCGATGGCGAACCTCGCGATGCTCATGTCGTCCGGGAACGCGGGCGCGCTGAACAGCATCGCGCCGGATCTCCTCCCTCTACTCCTCCGGTTGCCGTCCACGGCGGGCAACGTCGACGCGCTGACGCGGTGCGCGGAGGGCATCAGCGCGTGGAAGGCGTCGCTGAGTAGAGGATTGCTCCCGGGCTCAGAGATTGCGTGGCCGGACGACGTCGTGTTCCGCGAGGCGCTCGTGGAGGCGCTCGGGGATCTGGACATGGCGCGGTTCACGCGGCAGTTCCCGCCCGTGTTGGACACGCTGATGAAGAACATCCTGGACGTGCTGTACGTCTACGAGCAGAACCGCGTGGACGATGGAGAGGACGACTCGGATCAGCCGTCGACGGACGCGGACGGCGGCGGGAGCGACGAAGACGGCGCGAGCGGGGACCCGGAGGACGACGACGACCCCGCGGGCGCCGGCGGCGGCGGGAACGGCGAGGAGTCCCAGGACGATCAGGACAGCCAAGGCAGCGGCGGATCAGGCGGCGGGAGCGACGACGGCGGGGGAGACGTCGGCAACCAGACGGCGGTGGACGACATCGACTTCTCGATGGAGGGAGACGACGCCGGAGAGGACGAGAAGGACGCCGCGAGAGAGGCTGCGAGGGAGGCTGCGAAGGCGGCGAACAAGGAGATGGTCGAGAAGCTCATGGAGGACTTCAAGGAGCAGTGGGAGCCCGCGGTGGATAAGCTGGATAAGGCGGCGAAGGCGTTCGAGGGGTTGAACTTGGACGATCTCGCGGAGGGACCCGAGGGGTTCGACGTCACGAAGGGGCTGTGGCAGCAGACCGGGTGGACGGAGCTCGATTCGCTCCGACGGAAGCTCGAGGAGCTCCGCGAGCTGAGAGACCTCGTGCGCAGCTTGGGCCGAGGCAGCGGCAGAGGCCCGCTGCGCCGCGCGCCGAGGCAGCGCGAGCGTCGCGGCGCGCCCGTCGGTTTGGTCAGGTGCGTTCTATACAAAAGTTTTTCACCCACCGCTCGGTTTCAACATTTGATCGCATCCCCTTTCAACTGACCGGTGAACTGTTTTTGTATGGAACGACCCTCAGAAGCGCGCTCGATCCCGAGGAGACCAACGGGCTCTGCCGCAGCGACGACATCTCGAGGATGCTCCCGTCCGAGATGGCGCTCATCGCGAACGGGTCGCGACCGGCGCGGCTGCTGCACTTCGCGCGTCGAATGGAGCGCACGCTGCTATCGTACGAACGCGTGGGGTGGTCGGAGGAGCCGGCGGTGACGACGGAGGGCACCGAAATTCGACCGGCGGCGGAGTGCGGCCCGATCATCCTCTGCCTCGACACCTCCGGGAGCATGATGGGCGCGCGCGAGACGGTCGCGAAAGCAATGGTGCTCGAGTGCATGCGTCAGGCGAAGACGCAGCAGCGGCAGTGCTATCTGTACTCGTTCAGCGGGCCCGGGGACTGCCAGGAGCTCGAGCTGAAGGTCACGGGGAAGGGCGTGTCCAAGCTGCTCGAGTTTTTATCCGGGTCGTTCCACGGCGGCACGGACGTGGACGAACCGTTCATCCGCGCGCTCGATCGCTTGGGCGAGGAAGAGTGGCAGAACGCGGATATTCTGCTCGTGACCGACGGCGAGATTCGACCGCCGACGGAGGAGGTGGTCGTCGGGCTGGACGACGCCAAGGAAAAGTTGGACTTGAAGGTGCACGCGCTGCTGGTGGGGGAGCCGGGCGCGGGCGCGGGCGTCGTGGAGGAGCTGTGCACGCACACGCACACGTTCAAGTCGTGGAGCAAGGTGGGAGGGAGGCGGCCGTGATGCGATGCGAATGCGATGCGATGCGCGCCGTCGTAAGGTTATCCCATCGCGTCGCGTCGATTCTACGTGAGAGATTCTAACCTCATCTAGCTAGGCATCGGGTTTCGCGCGCTCCGCTCGCTCGTCATCGAGGGATCGGCGACGGCGCGAACGTGACGCGCTTCTTCGCTCGTCGAACGATCTTCTCGTGGTCGTGGAACGCCGCGAGCGCGCTCTTCGTCTCCGGGGACACCGGGGAGTGCATCGTGATCGTCCCTCCGCCCTTCCGTCCGCGTCCCGCCGCTCGTATCGGACTCATTTTCCCGCCGCCGCCGCCGCCGCCGCCGCCGCCGCCACCGTTTTTATTTTTAGACGCGTAGTCGCCTCCCCGCGCTCGCGCGGAGAGATGCGCGTACGTCCCCGCGCCAGACGCGGGCTTCCGCCCGCGTCCCGCCGCTCGTATTGGACTCATTTTCCCGCCGCCGCCTTTTTTCCTCCTCCCCGGGGACAGAAGCTCCGTGCCGTCCGTCGCGTCGTCGAGCGTTTGGCGAATCGCATCCGCCTCCTTCGCGGAAATCGCAGCCTCCTCCGCCATCGTCTCTTCGACGATCCGCCGCGCGCGCGCCGCGCGCAGAACACGTCGCTGCTCCATCGCGTTCATCTCTGCGTACGTCTTCGCGCGGGTCATCGCGTTCTTCGCGCGGAGGAGCTCAAAGTTCGCGCGTTTCCCGCGCGGGGAGTAGACGAGCTCTTTCTTCGCGCCGCCTTTTTTGCCGTCGGGACCGTCGTCCGTCCACTCCCGCTTCAGACGTTCCAACGCGTGCTCGCGCTCCTCGATCCGTCGCCCCGGCGACTCGAGCGGGGAACCCAAACCGCCGACGCCAAACTTGATCGGCGACGCTTTCGGCGGCCGCACTTGAACCGGTTTGAACCGCCCGTCGTTCGGGTCTTTGAACCACCCGGGGTGGACCGGTTTTTGACTCAGCGCGAGATACGACCCGCCCGTCGTCGCGGTCGCGCTCGACGCGCCGCGCGCCACGGGCTCGCCGTCCGCGTCCAACGGACGACGCAGCGCGTCCGTGTAGTGCGCGTACATCCGCCGCCGCGCGTGCTCGTTCTTCACGTGCTCCGCGCGCTCGCTCAGACGCCTGACGTCTCCCAACAGAATCTTCTCCTCGGTTCGATCCTCGAGAAGAGCCGGATCCGGGAGCCCCTCTTGCCTCGCGAGCCCGCTCCTTCGAACGGCGTCGTAGTAATCCCTCAGCGTCTTCTTCGCTTTCGCGACTTTCGGATCGACGACGCCGGTGGAGTACTTCAACGGCGGGCTCGGCGGCGCGATGTACAGCGGCCGCGGCTTGGGCGACGCCGGCGGCGTGTCGTTCCTGAGGGTCATATCCCGCGCGAAGCGACGTCGGGGCGGAGTCGAAAGGCGTCGTCGGATCAAGTTGAAAGGCATCGAGGTCGGGCGTCGAAAGCGTGGGACCCTGGGCGGAGAGAAACGAACGCAACGCGCGAGGGGGGACCCAACAGTCCTCAAGGATGGGCGTGCACCGCGCGAACGCGGTCGTATGGGGACCGGCGTAACCGGGACGCGCCTCAGATGCGGAAACGCGTACGCCAACGCGTCTTCTTTGTCCCGGGACCCGGACGCGACGCGCCTTTCCTCGTCGTCCGTCTTCGCGTCCACCTCCGTCTCCGCCATGAGCGCGTCCACGCGGTCTAACACCTCCGGGTCTAACATCGGCTTCTCCCAGAAGTTCACCTTGGGGCGAACGTCGCAGTTGATCCCCACGTATCCGCGCGCCCACTGACCGTTCCCGCGGTCCGTCCCGACGCTCAGCCTTCCGTGCACGATGAGCTCTCGCTGCGTCGGGCTCAGCTCGCGAAGAAGCAACTCCGCGCGCTTCGGGAACGTCGCCTCGTACAGCTCGAAACATCTGCGCGCGGCGACGCGAACGCCGAGGTCGTCGTCGCCCCACGCCCTGGACATGACCTTCTCGACGTCTCCCCGCGCGCGCTCCGCCGCCGCTGTCGGCCATTCCCCCAACGCGCGACACACGTATCCGACGACGCGCTCGCGGCTCGCGGGCGCGGCGGCGGCGAACGCGGGCGAGCACACCGCGCTCGCGAGCATCGCGATCAACCCCGGGTCGCGGCACGTCGAAAACGCGGCGCTCGCGGCGAGGTGCGCGCGCATCCCCGCCTCGCCGTGCCTGTCGTCGGAGGGTCGTTCGATAGTACTTTCACTTTGTTGGCGTTTCGTTTTCGGGCGGAGCCGTCGCGGGCGGGGCGGCGGACGAACGCGGACGCGGCGGTCGGGAGAGCGCGACGCGCGACGACGGGAGGGCGAGGTCCGAGTCTCACCTCGTGAGCGCGCGCGTCAGCGGCTTGGCCAACGCGCGCGCGACCAGCGCGTCGTACACGCGCGTGTCGTCGTCGAGCCTTCCTCCTCCTCCTCCTCCTCGCCGCCGACCGCACCGCGACAGCGCGACGACGACGTGCGACGCCTCGCGACCGCACTCGGGCTTGTGATCGGTGATGCACTCCGCGAGCGCGCGCGCGGCGGGGGACGCGGCGAAGCGTCGGAGCCGGTCGCCGCGAAGCGGCGGCGGCGGGAGGGACGCATCGTCGTCGGCTGCGGCGGCGTCGGCGTCGGCGTCGTCGCGCGGGGGCGGCGCCGCGAGCGCGGCGCGGAGCGTCCGCAGCGCGTTGAACCGCGTCGTCCAGTCTTCGCTCGCTGCGGACGGTGGACGGGCAGAGAGGGACGCGGGGCGACGGCGGGGGGCGGGTGAGGAGAGGATGGACGAGGTCGGATGGCGCGCGCGGCTCGCGCGAATGGAGTCGTTGAGGCGCGTCTGACGGACGGACGACGCGGGGGATCGGACGCGCGCGCGCGGCGCACCCAAGTCGGCTCGGAGGTCGTCCAGGCCTTCGGGGGAGAACGTCCGCGCGACGTCGTCCGCGCCGAGCGACGGCAGCGGCGCGTCCGGGACGCGCGCGACCGCCTTCAAGTACGGATTGTCGCGCGGAGGCGGCGACTTCGCCTTATACTTTTTCTTCGCGGACGCCTTCGCCCTGCTCGGCGACGCCGACGGCGACGTCGCCCCCGCGGGGCTCCGCGGCGATTTCGGGGAGCCGAACCACCCCATGACGACGCGCAGGAGGACGCCGCCGCGTGGCGTCCTTCCTCGTCCGCGGCGCCGCTCGCTCTGCAGAGCGTCGTCGCGTCCGACGACGTCGCCTCTCGTCACGAATCGTTCTCGGAAACGCCGCGGTTGACCGATGCCAGCTGTCGCGCGCGCGTTGAGTTCGCGCGGACGAGGGCGCGTCCGCGGTCGTCACTTCGATCGCGCGCGGCGGCGCGATATGAGTCGTCGTCAAGCCCTGTGCATGGGCGGCACGTCCGGGATCGGGCTCGGGATCGCGCTCGAGCTCGCGCGCGCGGGGTTCGACGTCGTCGTCGTCGGACGGAACCCCGCGCGCGGCGCGGAGGCCGTGCGCAGGCTCGAGCTCGCGGCGGGCGGCGCGGAGGATTCGTCCTTCGCGTTCGCGCGATCGGACCTGAGCGTCGTGAAGAACGTCAAAGCGACGTGCGAGGCGTTCATGAAGCAGCACGCGCGCCTGGACGTCCTCGTCATGACGCAAGGTCGCGGCTCGATGATGCGCTGGACGGACAACGGCGAGGGGACGCACGCGAACATCGCCGTCAACTATCTCGGACGCGTCGCCGCGGCGTTTCTCCTCGCGCCGCTTCTGCGCGCGTCGAGCGACCCGAGGGTGCTCACCGTGCTGGCCGCGGGGATGCATAAACCGTACGTGCACGCGGCGGATGACTTCGCGGTGCGAGAGCACTTCTCATTCGCGAACCAAGCGGACGCGGCGTGTTCGTACACGGACGTCGCCTTCGATCGATTCGCGACGAGATTCCCGAAAATCTCAACCGCGCATCTGTACCCGGGAGTCGTGCGTACGAACTGGATGATCGAGTTGCCGCTGTCGGTGCGATGCCTCGCGTGGACGCTCTGCGGCGCGTGCTTGTGGACGTGCGTGAAGAGCGGCGACGACGTCGGCGTCGAGTTCGCGCGCGCGTTGCTGTTGGACGAGAAGAGCGGCGGGGGCGGATACAGGTACGTTTTTTGACCCACACCTCGGTGTCAACATTTGATCGCGTCCTCTTTCAACTGAAGGTATCAACTGACCGATGAAAATGATCACGACGCACGCGCGGCGTCGCCCGCAGGACCGTCGGTCCGAGGGCGCGCCCCGCGCGAAAGAACTGGGGGAAGGACGGCCAGGAGTCGGAGGAGTATAAGAAGATCGTGTGGGACGCGACGGCGTCGACGCTGAAGGAGCGGTGCGGCGTGGACGTGTCGTGAGAAGGAGAGGAGAGGCGAGGACGCGCGGACCTTCGCTTTGATCGCGCGAGACGAAAGGGCGACGCGTGCGATCGTCTGGGTGAAAACGCGTCCCCCGGTCAATGTGACCCTCGGTGCCAATCAAAGCCGTACAGTATGTTGAAAAAAGTTTCGTCGGAGTCGCGCGAAAAAAATCGAGACTGGATCTGTCGCGTTTCGTCAAAATTAGGGTTCGCGAACCGTCGATTGTTCTCGATTGAGTACGTGTACGTGTACGCACCCTCAGACTGTCTGGTCGTAGGCTCCATCATCACGCGTCGCCCGGAAAAGGGTGTTACAATGGGTATCTTTTCTTGAAAGGACGCGGTGCAAACGGGCGAATCGATCATTCGACGTGGCGCGGGATCCACGCGCGCGCAACCGAAAGTCTCGAACCGAACGAGGCAAACCCCGCGCGGCATCCTCCCGCGCATTCTCTCGCGCGAACCCGCGCGTTTTCGAGGACCGTCCGCGCCGCGCGCGCTCGATCGCCATGCCCGCACATGCCATGCCCGCGATCTCGACGGAGGAGGATCCGCTCCTCTTCCGCGATGGGAAACCGCGACGATCTAGCCGCGCGTCGTCGTTCACGTGGAATGCTGTCGGCGCGGGCGTCCTCGGCCTCGGCGCCGTCGTCGCCGTCGCCGGGCTCTCGCGTAACTCCGCGGCCGCGACGCCGTCCGGATCCGCCGCGCTCGGGAACGTATTCGGAGACTTCGCGAACAAGATCGGGGACACCCTCCACCTCACGCATCACCCCCCTCCGCCCCCGCCCGTCTCCACGTGCGGCCTCGAGCGCGTCGGCGAGTTCCTTCACTCGCACGCGATCACCGGCCCGATGCTCTCGGATTGGCTGGGCGCCGGGGACATCTCCACGGTAGAGACCGTGCTCAAATCGCACGGCGTTCAGGACGTGCCGCAGTTTGAACACGACTGCGAAGTGCAGTCGATGAACGACGTGTTCACCGCGCACGCGATCAAGAACGTGAGCTCGCTCATGGCTCAGCTCCCGAGCTACGAAGTCGACGACGGCGAGGACTCCATGCCCGGCGCCCCCGGCGAGGGACCCATGACGGACTCGATGCAGGGCCCCCCCGTGGAGGTTCCCACGAGTGACTCGATGCCCGGCGCCCCCGGCGAGGTTCCCACGATGGATCACCCCATGGGCTCCATGATGGATCACCCCATGGGCTCCATGATGGATCACCCCATGGGCTCCATGATGGATCACCTTATGGGCCCCATGATGGATCACCCTATGGGCTCCATGACGGACTCCATGCCCGGCGCCCCCGGCGAGGGCCCCCCAGTCATGATTCACGACCCCTCCGAGTTCAACGACGAGTTCAAGTCGTTCCTCAAAGGAAAAGGCGTCACGGACGTCGACGGGCTCATCAAGGACTGCGGCATCCCCGAGCAAGTCAAGGCAGCACTCGCTGAGGGCAAATCCGCGGAGGAGGTCGTCACTATGGCTGCAGAGGGAGGGGATATCGTCGACTTGCTCAAGTCCCACTGCCCCCAGCATCACGAAGACGGCGAGGACCACTTTTCTCAGTGCGACGGGATGGACTTCGGCTCCAGTGACCTCGCGGTCAGCTCGCACATGTTCGACACCCACGATAACTACCCCGGCACCCAAGGCTGCGAGGCGACGTGCGAGGGAGATCAGTTCAAGACAGAGGCAGCATGCCTCGCGGTCCCGCACCACTCGTGCTGGTGGGCAGCCTACGGCGACAACGAACCCAAGTGCTGGAGTAACGTCCGCGCGTTCCCTTGCCCGAAGTCGGAAATCGAAGCGACGTGCATGCACCACAAGATCAATCAGTGGGAACAGAACCACAGCAGAGCCGGCGCCCCCGGCGAGGGCCCCGATGACCACGACGACGACCACGACGAGGGCCCCGAAGACATGATTCACGACCCCTCCGAGTTCAACGACGAGTTCAAGTCGTTCCTCCAAGGAAAAGGCGTCACGAACGTCGACGGGTTCATCAAGGACTGCGGCATCCCCGAGCAAGTCAAGGCAGCACTCGCTGAGGGCAAATCCGCGGAGGAGGTCGTCACTATGGCTGCAGAGGGAGGGGATATCGTCGACGTGCTCAAGTCCCACTGCCCCCAGCATCACGAAGACGGCGAGGGCCCCGATGACCACGACGACGACCACGACGAGGGCCCCGAAGACATGATTCACGACCCCTCCGAGTTCAACGACGGCTTCAAGTCGTTCCTCCAAGGAAAAGGCGTCACGAACGTCGACGGGTTCATCAAGGACTGCGGCATCCCCGAGCAAGTCAAGGCAGCACTCGCTGAGGGCAAATCCGCGGAGGAGGTCGTCGCTATGGCTGCAGAGGGAGGGGATATCGTCGACGTGCTCAAGTCCCACTGCCCCCAGCATCACGAAGACGGCGAGGGCCCCGATGACCACGACGACGACCACGACGAGGGCCCCGAAGACATGATTCACGACCCCTCCGAGTTCAACGACGGCTTCAAGTCGTTCCTCCAAGGAAAAGGCGTCACGAACGTCGACGGGTTCATCAAGGACTGCGGCATCCCCGAGCAAGTCAAGGCAGCACTCGCTGAGGGCAAATCCGCGGAGGAGGTCGTCGCTATGGCTGTAGAGCCAGGAGAGGATATCGTCGACGTGCTCAAGTCCCACTGCCCCCAGCATCACGAAGACGGCGAGGACGACGACCACGACGACGACGACAAGGACGACCACGAGGTTCCCACGATGGACTCGATGCACGGCCCCCCCGTGGAGGTTCCCACGATGGACTCGATGCACGGCGCCCCTGTGGAGGTACCCATGATGGACTCGATGCCTGGCGCCCCCGTGGAGGTTCCCACGATGGACTCGATGAACTCGGGCAACCCGACGAAGTGCGTTGTACCCGATTGGTGCTCGACGTACCCCCA